CAGATAACTCATTTCTGAGTTCTAGTGCATGTCTGAAAATGTCTTGCTTCCTACATGTCCTGTGAAGCTATAGTATTAATTCTTCTCATTATTTTGCTGCAAATTTTCATGACCCTCTGTGATGATTCAATCATCCACTTACAGTTTTTGCATATTCATATCTTTCTACTCATGGCTGCAATTATTTGCGTCTCCTTCACTGGCTGTAGTATGCACGGTGCAGTAATTGAGCTGCAGTAGATTGATTATTCTAGGGAGCTGTAAGGCCTTTAAAGATGAAAACATATCAGTCCTGTTAATTAGGAAACTAAGCTCTGGTGGCAAGTTCAGCAGTCAAATGCTTCTAGTGTAGAAATTAGGAAAGGTATGATTTGTTCTCCACCATGAACCCTGTTTATTTTTTAGTATTTAAATTAGATTTGCAATCAGGTATAGCAAACCTGAATATATGATGCCAGCTGACATACATATATGGGGGAATGCCAATGGGGGAATGCCATGCTGGAAGTGGTTGCACATTTTGATCCTTCCCTCCACATCTTTTTACCTTAACTTATAATTTTACTATTATATATAGTAATATATATAGTATATATAATATGGCCACCCAGAATTGCCATGTGGTGAGATGAGTACAAATAAATGTAATAAATAAATAGATGCAATAAATAAAACATAAGGCCAATATTCTGTCATATGAAAGATGGTTATTTAATTTATATGCCACCCATCTCCACAGTAAGGTGACTCTGGGCTGCTTTATATTTGAATATTATTAAAGAGAGAAGAATAACTTACAGATAATAAAGAATAACGTACTGTATACGGTGGTGTGAATATAATGCTTTAAAGAAATAAATGTAAGCGAAATATCCTGATCAACTGGGAAGACAAAATGCACACACACATACAAAACGAACACACACATGCACACAGAGACAAACATTTTTAGTATATCCATTTGTTTGCCTGATACTGGATTTCCAGATGAAGCATCCAAATATTGGATCTACAACAAAGATCGTGTTGTTATTTATATTTTGGAAATGTATTTATTTATTTATTTTATTATTTGAATTTATACCCCGCCCTTCTCCTTGCGGACTCAGGGCGGCTGACAGCCTGATAAAAACAACTACAACAATACCCCAAAAACTATCATTAAAACCAAGTTAAGATGAAATATTAAATTTGGCCTTATTAATTTTTAAAATTACTTTTAAAACCCCACTAAAAATTTCCCCTTAGGCCAGTCCTGCTTGTTGGAAAAGCCATGTCTTAAGGGTGCGGCGGAAGGAAGGGAGATCCGGGATCACCCGGATCTCTGGGGGTAGTTCGTTCCAGAGGGTGGGAGCTCCCACCGAGAAGGCCCTCCCCCTGGGGGTCGCCAGCCGGCACTGTCTGGCTGACGGCACCCTGAGGAGACCCACTCTGTGGGAGCGTACCAGCCGATGGGAGGTAATCTGCGGCAGAAGGCGGTCTCGGAGATATCCAGGTCCGATGCCATGGAGCGCTTTGAAGATGATAACCAACACCTTGAAGCACACCCGGAAGGCCACCGGCAACCAGTGCAGCTCGCGCAGCAACGGTGTTACATGGGAGCGACGAGTCCCTCCCAACACCGCCCGCGCGGCCGCATTCTGGAC